TCTATTTGGGTCTTCTGCCCATTTTTTGATTGTGTTCTTTCTTTTTTCAATATTGCATTGTATGAACTGTTTATATATTTTGGATATTAATCTCTTGTTTGTTCCATTGTTTGCAAATATTTCCTCCCATTCCACAGGTTGTCTTATTGTTTTATTGATGGTTTCCTTTGCTGTGCAAAAGCTTTTAGATTTTATTAGGTACCATTTGTTTATTTTTGCTTTTATTACTTTTGCCTTGGGAGACCGAACTAAGAAAATATTGCTATGATTTATGTCAGAGAATGTTTTGTCTCTGTTCTCTTCTAGGAGTTTTATGCTTTCATGTCTTAGATCTAAGTCTTTAAACCAGTTTGAGTAATTTTTGAATATGGTATGAGGAAGTGTTCGAGTGTTCTATTTTCATTGATTTACATGTGGCCATCTGGCTTTCCCAACACCACTAGTTGAAGAGACTTCTTTCTTTCCATTGTACAGTCTTGATTCCTTTGTTAAAGATTAATTGACTGTAGGTGTGTGGGTTTATTTCTTGACTCTCTATTCTGTTCCATCGATCCATATGTCTGTTTTTGTGCCAATACCATGCTGTTTTGATAACTGTAGCTTTGTAGTATTGTCTGAAGTCTGGAAGTATAGCTTTGTTCTTTTTTATTAGGATTGTTTTGAAATTTTTGGGTCTTTTTTCGTTCCATATAAATTTTAAGATTATTTGTTCTAGTTCTGTGAAAAATATCATGGGTGTTTTGATAGGGATTGCATTAAATCTGTAGATTGCTTTGGGTAGTATGGCCATTTTAACAATATTAATTCTTCCAATCTAAAAGCATGGGATATCTTTCAATTTCCTTGAATTATCTCCAATTACTGTTTTCAATGTTTTATAATTTTTAGTGTATAGGTCTTTCGCTTCCTTGGTTAAGTTTATTCCTAGGTATTTTTTGACACCATTTTAAACAGGATTACTTTTTACTTTCTCTTTCTGATATTTCATTGTTAGTGTAAAGAAATGCAACAAATTTCTGTATATTAACCTTGTACCATGCAACCTTGCTGAATTTCTTTATTAGTTCTAATAGTTTTTGTGTGGAGACTATAGAGTTCTCTATATAGAGTATTATGTCAACTAGAAATAGTGAGAATTTTACCTCTTCTCTTCTAACTTGGATACATTTTGTTTCTTTTTCTTACCTGATTTCTGTGGCTAGGATTTCCAATACTGTGCTGAACAGAAATGGTGAGAATGGGTATCCTTGTCTTGTTCTGTGTCTCCATTCTATTTCCGAGATTTTGGATCATATTTACTATCATTACTCTGAATTCTTTTTCAGGTAGGTTGCCTATTTCCTCTTCATTTATTTGGTCTTGTAGGTTTTTACCTTGCTCCTTCATCTGTAGCATATTTCTCTGTCATCTCATTTTTGTTGATGTGTGGAGCTGTTTTCCTCTCTTGCTGGTTGTTTGGCCTGAGGCGTCCAGCACTGGAGCTTGCAGGCAGTTAGGTGGAGCCAGGTCTTGGTGCTGAGATGAGGACTTCTTCGAGACCTCACAGTGATGAATATTTCCTGGGACCTGTAGTTCTCTGATAGCCCAGCAGTTTGAATTTGGTGCTCCCACCACAGGGGCTCAGGCCTAACCCCTGGCCTGGGAAACAAGATCCTGCAAGTTGCACAATGTGACAAAAACAAATAAACAAACAAAAAGCAGACAAACAAAGCCCAAGGCAAATAATAAAAACAAAACCGAACCAACAAAAATAAGAAGTAACAATCACACAAACAAAAGAAAACAAACAGACAAATAAAACCAAAGACAACAAAAAAAATAAAAATAAACAAAAGACAAAACAACAAACAAACAACAACAACGAAAAAAAACCCAAGGAAAGCAAAAAAACAAGAAGACACCAAAATGAACAAGAGAGCCCCCAAACCAAAACCAATAATAAAAACAAAACTAACCCAAACAGAAAACTGAAAACAAAAGAAAATCAAAAAACAAACTAAAAGAAAAGCTGAGTGAACAAAAGACAAACACACAAAAATGACACACACACAAAAAATCAAAACTAGAAAAAAAGGATAAAAACAAAAGAAAATAATAAACAAAGCAAAACAAAACTAAACAAAAATATCAAAATAACAAACCAACAGGAAGAAAGGGACAACAAATAACAAAGAGCAGGACAGTAACAAAGAATAAAAAGAAAAATAAAATTAGAAAAATAAAAAATATTTTAGAAAAAATAAAAATGAAATAACAAAGCAAAATAGAACAACAGCAAAAAGATAAAATAAAATAAAATAATTTTAAAAGTTTAAAAAATAAAGTTAAAGATAAAAATATAAAAAATTTAAAAATGGAAACTTCTGTGATGCCTCCACTATCAATGTCCCTGCACCCACGGTGAGCTACAGCCAACCCCCACCTCCCCAGGAGTTCCTCCAAGACCTCTTGGTAGGTCTCTGGACCAGCTGTGTCATGCCCACCTCTGCTTGTGTTCCTCTCACCAGCATCTGCTCCTGAAGCTGGCCTGGAGCACACATGCTTGCATAGGCCAGCCAGGGTGCAGACTTCCATGGGCATGGTTTCAGGGGCTGGCACAGATGGAGGAGGCTTTGGAGAAAGGTGGCGCTCAGCCTGCCAGGACCTCCGTGGACAAAGGAAGATTTGTCAGGGGTGGTGGCAGGCTGCCAAGACCCACACAGCCCATGGATGCTTTGGGGGAGTTGTGCTCAGGTCCACCTGAACTCATGTGGCCAGAGGAGGTTTTGGCAGGGGTAGGGCTCAGGCCTGGGTCCCTAGCAGGCTTGCCAAGGCCTGAGCAGGTGAGGGGAACCCTGGTTTTCAGGGTGGGTGAGCCTGCTCAGGCATGCACAACTTATGTTGCCCAAGGAGGCCAGCCAAACGGGTGGGAAAGGGCATTCCAATGGCAGTCCTGCTCTTTGCACACCACTCAACAATTGCATCTCACCTCCATAGTGGCCTGGGCTTCCTCTGCAAACTTTTCTGGCCATGGAGCCCTTCCCTCCTGCTGCCTCAGGCTGTCTCCTCACAACCAACAGCTACCCCCTCCCTGGGTCCACTCTCCAAACCTCACTCTCCAGCACCCAGCCCTCCTACACACAACTCAGGCTGGGGTGTGCAGGGCTGTGGCACAGACTATGTGAATAGGTATTACTCTGTCCTGCCTTACACATACTGGTTGCTGCATTCCCCTCCAATCTCCCAATCCCCTGAAAGTCCCTCTCTGTCACCACTGTTCCCCTTGCTGTAAGTGAGCTTTTCTGAGTGTAGGAACCTCTGCTCTCCTTTAGCTACCCCTCAGGGGCACTGGTCTCATCCTGTTTCCACTTTTCTTCCCCCTTTCCTTCATCCTACCTGGTTGCTCGGGGATTTTTTTGTCCCCTTAGGTGTCCGAGGTCCTCCACTAGTGTTCAGTAGGTGCTCTCTGAGAATTGTTCCAATGCATTCTTGATGTATTTGTGAGGAGATGCAAACTCCACATCCTCCTATTCTGCCATCTTGACTCTGTCCCCAATGTTCAGTCGTTGATTTACAATATTATGTTAATTTTAGTTATACAGCATCATGATTCAATATTTTTGCAGATTACACTCCATTATAAGATATTTTAAGATAATTGCTATAATTCCCTGTACTATACAGTATATCCTCTTTGCATATCTATTTTATATAAAGTAGTTTGTTTCTGTTAATCCCATCAAACAAACAAACAAACAAACAAATAAATAGTCTGAAGTCAGGGAGTCTGATTCCTCCAGCTCCGTTTTTTTCCCTCAAGACTGCTTTGGCTATTCGGGGTCTTTTGTGTCTCAGTACAAATTTTAAGATTGTTTGTTCTAGTTCTGTAAAAAATGCCATTGGTAATTTGATAGGGATTGCATTGAACCTGTAGATTGCTTTGGGTAATAGAGTCATTTGCACAATATTGACTCTTCCAAAAAAAAACATGGTATATCTCTCCATCTGTTGTTATCATCTTAAATTTCTTTCATCAGTGTCTTATAGTTTTCTGCATACAATTCTTTTGTGTCCTGAGGTAGGTTTATTCCTAGGTATTTTATTCTTTTTGTTGCAATGGTAAATGGCAGTGTTTCCTTAATTTCTCTTTCAGATTTTTCATCATTAATGTATAGGAATGCAAGAGATTTCTGTGCATTAATTTTGTATCCTGCAACTTTCCCAAATTCATTGATTAGATCTAGTAGTTTTCTGGTAGCATTTTTAGGATTCTCTATGTATAGTATGTCATCTGCAAAGAGTGACAGTTTTACTTCTTCTTTTCCAACTTGTATTCCTTTTATTTCTTTTTATTCTCTGATTGCCATGGCTAGAACTTCCAAAACTATGATGAATAATAGTGGTGAGAGTGGACATCCTTGTCTTGTTCCTGATCTTAGAGGAAATGCTTTAGGTTTTCACCATTGAGCGTGATGCCTACTGTGGATTTGTCATATATAGCCTTTATTATGTTGAGGTACGTTCTCTCTATGCCCATTTTGGATTGGAGCTTAATGACAAGGAAAGTCTGGCTAAGTATTTGAGGCATCAATACATGCAGATTAATTGACATCAGAAAGATGGCTTAAATCTTCCATGGAGACAGTATGGAAAAAGAGGAGAAGAGGACTAGAGACAGAGCCTTGAAGAAACAGCTGCATTTAGGAGGCAGCAGCAGGATAGGGAGACCAAAACAGAGCCAAAGAAGGAAGGTCATTATAAGCAGGGAGAATAGTAGCAGAACTGCCTTACTAGAGTATTGGACCTGAATATTTAAAGATAGGGACAGTAGAAGAGATGTTGAGGGTGTCCCAGGAGGGATAAGAATAAAGTCACAAAAATAAAATGAAGACTGATATGGAAATGATGGAGAAATATCTTAAAGGTCCTGGGACTCACCTGCCACAGCCTCTTAGGGATACCCGGGAACTGGGAGAAATTTCTGATCTGGTCTAACTGGAGACTCCTGTTACCACTTCTAGGTGAGGTTCTCACTTACCAGTGGAACATCCCAGAGAGATCTGGCCCTGGGCCCAATGATTCTACTTGTGTTTCCTGGATCTATTATTCTGCAGTGGATCCCATCAAGGTAAAGACAATATTGGCTTCCTGGAGTTGTCTCAGAACTGGGCAGGCTGCCTAGTAAAAAGAAGTTATTAAACAGATGTAGTAAGAAGCCCAGCACTAAAGTCCAGGGTTCAGGTGAAATTCCTCAAATGCTGGGTTTATTCTAGTAGTTAGGAGGAGGGATGAAAGGAATAGGTAGCATCACATGTTAGTTCTGAGGATTTTCTTCCTTATTTCTTCTTCTTGGATAATATAAGGCAGTATGTTATCATTCAAGAAGCCTAGAATTTGTTGTCAAGAGATTGGGTTTCTAGCCCAAATTTTGTTCTGTCTTGCTTTTGAAGTGACTTTAGGCAAGTCATTCTGCCTCTGTTTCCTGGAAAATGGGCTTATCTATGTAGCCACCCATCCACAGGCAGATGTCAGCTATCATTTATTGAGAGACTACTACATTTTACCTGATGCTTTGGATGATACAAATGTAAGATACAGTTCCCATTTTCAAAGAGTATGATCTAGTTGTGGGAGACAGATGAATATAAACATAACGTTGACATTAAATATATAAAATATAACTATATATATATATATATATATATACACAGAATAAAATTTAAATATAGCATAGTATTAGCAGCTCTATAAAACCATTTAATAGAAACTGCTGTGGGGGGTCCATGAGAGAGTGATTACTTCTGCTTGGAGGAGAGGATGAATGAGGGGGAAACTGGAGAAGGCAACATAATGATAGGTAGACATACATTGAGCCTTGAAAGCTGAATAGCAGTATGATAAAAGATAGGGATATGGTGGTGGGGGGGCATTACAGGAAGAAGAAACAGCCTGAGAAAAGGCATTGTGTTGTGAAAATGATTGGTGAGTTTGGAGATCAACGAATAGTCCAGCAGAGGTAAATCATAAGTGAGATAGCATATCTTTCCTATGTCCCAAGATTGTTGTGAGGATGAATTCAGATAATATAGATGAGGTACTTATAAATACAAGACATTATGATGAAGTGCTGAGGGCACAATGGGCTTGGATGTTAGCCTGTCTCTCTGTAGAGCACTACCACCCAGAAACAACTCCATCTAGTTCACTCTCTCCCTCTTCCTCCTATCCTTAGGACATGTACAGTGGCCTTGTGGGACCCTTGGCTATCTGCCGAAAGGGCATCCTAGAGCCCAATGGAGGACGGCATGACATGGACCGAGAATTTGCCTTGTTATTCTTGATTTTTGATGAGAACCAGTCTTGGTATCTGGAAGAGAATGTGGAAACTTATGGGCCCCAGGATCCAGGCCATGTTAACCTACAGGATGAGACTTTCTTGGAGAGCAATAAAATGCATGGTCTGTAGAAAAGAACCTAACCCTCTTCCAAAGAAGTCCCTACTGGCTGCATGGGGGTATCTGATAGGCCCATCACAACCCAAGGGAGCATATTTTCTGAAAGGATAGGAAAGTGGAATGGGGACAAATTAGAAGAAATGTCTCCTACTACAGTATTATATATTTCATACATAAAATAGGTAATGTGGTCTACGTTAGTTCAAGTGCCCAGAAAGCAGGAAGCTGACTCTGTAAAGTTGCTGTGGTGACACTAGCACATTTTAACATATTAGAGAAGGCAAGATGGACATTTATGACCCTCAATGTACCTGGTGCACTGGCTGATTAGGGCCTCTCTACTTAAAAATTCTGAGTTTAGTTTCTCAATATTATCTTATTTCCTTACCACTCTGGATCTGAGATCTGTTTTCTCAATATATTCTAATATAGTCAAATGAAGGACAGCTTATCTTTTAATCTATTTTTAAAACAAAGGTTCAATTTACAGATGGAAGGATTGGAGAGAGAGCTTCAGAGAGCAGCATACTGGGTTATATTACATACAAATAAGAGCTTCTTGATGCTCAAATGGATTTTGGGGGTAAATTGTGCACTCAAGCCTTCCTTTGTTCTAGAGATTTGTGTATCTTTAAAAAAAATAGAGAAAATCTCAAAGAAGAGGGAGAATTTAAGTGCAGCAGAATGTATGAAGTGATTTCTCACTATCTCTTCTAGTGTAGTATTTCTTTGATTTGAGGATAAGTTGCAGCTTTTATAGTGACTCTACTGGAACTCAAAAGTAGTATCTCATAGTCACACAGATTCTAGCTATTTCCCCTTGATGGAAATATGAGTGATTCACATTGAATCCAGTGATTCACAAACTTTACAAAATGAATTTTTTTAGCTCCTTTCAAATCAGAGAAATAAATTGCCCAAAACCAAAATGAAAAGAGGACACAGATCTTGCTAGTGCAGGGGTTTAGATAATGCTCATTTCCATCTTTTTGTTTATGTGTTTATTCATCCAAACTCTTCAGGTATCAATCTATCTACCTATCAAATATTTGTTGAAAACTCTCTGAGTGCTGACACTAGAGAAAAAAAATAATGTTGGTGTCTGAGGGCAAACAAATAATACCCTTTCTCTCACTTCCAGATTCCTGAACCAATTGAGCAAGAGGCAGAGATGCTTAAGATCAAATGTGAACTTACTGAGAAAGCTAATTTGCAAACTGAATTTAGTTCTGCAACAAAATGGGCTTACTAATACTACCCCAACAATGGATAGATTTTTCATCCTGTCATTGACGTAGAGGGACAACAATACCCTCCTCCTTCACAGGGATAAAATCTTCCCCATGATGGAATAACAAATCCATCTGCACCACTTTCTATGGTCAGACTGAGTTAAGCGTATTTAGTCCCTTCTCTCAAATACAAAATTTGGCCAGAGTAAATAGGCTATAAATGTTCCTTCCATTATTTCCTCTCTTGGGATGTAGAGTATAAATCATCTTCCCTCTGTGAGAACATGAAAAGTGGGGGTGTGTATCCTGGGCATAGTCTTGACAGTGTGAATTAACATGGTGATGAGTGGTTTGTTGTTTTTAAAGCATAGGATGTGGCCTGGGAAGAGGCAGATGATGAGTCCCATGTGTTAATATCATTATAAATTCCAAGAATGTGACAGGTATTTTTTTAAACATTTATTGTAGGCTCAGGTGTCTGCTGGGTGTTCTGAAGAATACAAGGAATATAGTATATACATTTATGTCCTGCCTAATAGAAACCTACAACCCAGTTGGGGATATAAAATTCCACAAATTAAAAGATAGGTAAATGTATAAGGCAGTTTCTAGTGAGTTCCAAAGGGTGGTACAGACAGTACTGGAGGAGTTTAGTTGTGGAAAGGAATGCAGGCAATGAGAGGTGCTGAGAGGCACTAGATCAGGGAAGCATTATTAGAAGAGGTGAAGGTATGACTGGGCTTTGAAAAGATGGATAAAAGTAGGGAAAATTTCTGGGAGGGAAGATCAGAAACATAAGCAAGAACACAGAGAACATGAATATGGGACCATATGGGGGGGATGGTGAAAAAATCACCTTAATTGAAATAAATATGTTAGATAATGGTAGATGAGTTTGGGAAGGTAGTTTGGGGCTGTATTTTGAAGGACCTTGTTGGCTGAGCTAAGGAGGCATGGACTTGATATTTTTGGCAGGAGGGAGCTATTAAAGTATTTTAAGCAGCAGAATAACATGATCATATTAGTTATTTAGAAAGACCACTCTTGTAACACCAATGTGGAAGATAGACTGGAGAGGGACAAATGGAATAAAAATGAGAGAATTTAGGAGGGTATTGCTATCATCAGAGATGATAGGGATTAGCTCTAGGGTAGTGGCAGTGGTAAGTCAAAATGAGAGATATAAAATAGTTTTCTTCTCTTACAGCCATTAATGGAAAACTCTATGCCAACCTCAGGGGCCTTACCATGTACCAAGGAGAACGAGTGGCTTGGTACATGCTGGCCATGGGACAAGATATTGACCTACACACTGTCCATTTCCATGCAGAGAGCTTTCTCTATCGGGTGAGCTGGAAAAGAGGCTGAGTCCCTCAGAGTGCTTTGATATCCATTAAGAAAGAAGAGAATAAAAAGAAACATGATAATAATCAGTTAAAAGAAGAAAGGTCTTGTACATGGAGTATTGATCAGGGAATTCTAGTTTGGCTTTGTATCCCAAGGTCAGTCATTGCCCTCCAGGCCTTAGCTTTCCCCTATGATATAGAAGAAATGAATGGCTCATTTATGTGATAAGGAGATTGAAGGAATAAATGTAATTGGGTCTCAGTCAGGGACTTGAGGTCCAGTAAGCAGTCATCCTGAGTAAGAAATTTCAGAGTAGTGTCTCACAATCTCTGAAAGTCCTTAATCCATTCCTGAACTTCAATTCAGGACCTACATGAGACTACATGTGGGTTTTGAAGAAGAAATTTTGTCTTAGGAAAAGGGGTCAGAGTTGTAGGCATTAATGTGGACTTAAAGACTTAGAAGTCCTGATAAAGGTGGTGGCATAGAGGAGAAACTAAATTGAGTTTCATTTCTAAAGTAAATATGTGGATCCTTCCTAGGGGTCAAGGCTTAAGCCTGCTAAAATGTATGGATATACTAGTTTTTATCCCCCTAATGAAAGACTAAATGAACTTTACTTTGGGACACTTTAAGAAAAAGTAGGAGGAGAGAGAGTCTCCTCTGTTGAGTCAGTTTGTATGGGTGGGTTCACAGAAGAGATGGATAAGATGGAATCTTTAAGCTGTTCTCTGGTCTGTGAATCTTGAAATTCCATGTCTCTGGTGTGGATACCCAAGCCTTTTAATTCCTATAAGTTCTGAGACTATCTCTACCCTTCACTTTCTCTCTCTCACCCACAATCTCTCTTGCAGAGTGGAGAGAGTTACCGGGCAGACGTGGTGGATCTGTTCCCAGGGACCTTTGAGGTTGTGGAGATGGTGACCAGCAACCCTGGGACATGGCTGCTTCACTGTCATGTTACAGACCATGTCCATGCTGGCATGGAGACTGTCTTTATGGTTTTGTCCCAAAGAGGTAAAGCCTAATTAGGATATCTTCTGGCACTGTATCTAGCCTGTAAGAACCAGATAATCCAAGAAGTGACTTGCATCCATCTTCTGATCCCAAGAAGACAGAACAGACCCCTTCTAGTGTTCTCCCAACCAATATTTCTCATTCCCTGTTGCTCCCCTGCTCATGCCCCCTCCTAATTTCTTTGATACTTGTTGAGCTCACATGAATTGACTCAGCCTGGCTGGGCTGTATGCATTGATGCTTAGTGTAGATTTGCTTCCTTTGAATACATTTAATTTGTATGTAAATTTATTATTTTAGAGTTTATTAGAGGTATTAACTATTTCAAAGGAATCTTATTAATGAGTTCTTTTTTTATAAAAAGGAAAAATATAATTCCAACAGTCACCCCTTAATTAGTTTGTTTTGTGGGGATTGTCTAAGGCTGGAAAGAGATATTAGCCTTCAATTACAACTAATCCCAGACAGATGCTAACAAGGATGGAAAAAACTTTTTCCTTGTATTTGTTATATGGAGACGTAATAGCCAGGGTATTTTCTTTACCAATAAATCTTTGTTCACCACCAATAACATAGAAGAGTAGGCTGTGTTGAATTTTGTGTCCTTGGGTCATCAAAGCATTGAGTCTCACTTCTTAAGTCTCTTAACCTGAATCCAGTACTCATCATTATCCCCCTTGCAAGAGGCTCAATAGAAACTCTAGGGACCCACATGAATCCAGAGAGGTATTTTTTCTCCTGTTCTTTTTTTTTTTTTTAAGTCATGCTGTTTTGAAAACTGGTTATATTGAGGTAGGTATTCTGGGATTCCCAGCCATTGACATTCTGTCAGCAGGAATAGAAAGTGGGAAAATGTCTTTAGACATTTAAACAGGGCTAGCAAACCAGGGTAGAAAATACAACTCTGCTATTTACCCCCAGGGAGGAAGACGAATAATTGTACATTATGATTTCCTATATCTTTGGAAAACTTTGTTCTCTGGTAACACATACTGCTAGAATGTGTCTTCCAGTTACTACTGTGGTACTATTCCCTACCACCCAGACAGGCACACATAATTCTTTGTTGTATCCTGTCAGTCCTTAGAATCAAACTCTAGTGGTGAATTGATATATCATCAAGATGCTATAGATCCAAAGCAATAGATTTTCTCCATGTGTAGTAACGGGTCATGTCAAATATGGACCATCTAATAGATAAGAGACTGCATCAATACATATCATCAAGGAACTTCCATGAATAAGAATAACTTACCTCTCTCTATAATAATGAGCCAGTCCATAAATTTTACCTATTTACCTTTTGTTTGTTTGACAGACTATGGTCTAATTTGATATTGTTCCAATCACATATAAGCTAACAGGCCAACCAGAGGGAAGAGTTGAAGACAGATAGGGAATAAAAGACTAATTGTTGGAAAGGGCTTCCCAGGGAAGAAGCAGGGGATGAAAGTCAGAGCTACAAAAAAATATTAGAGTGGGGTAAGGTCATTTTTTTCTACTAAAAGAAGAAAGAAAACAGAAAAGACCAATGTGTAGGTTTGGGTGAGAGGCTTGACAAAAAGGTAGATATTTCTGTCTGATGATCTGTGTTTCATCTGTGATGGAGGAGACAGAGTCATCTACTAAGAATGAAAGATAGATGGTAGTGTAAGGGGCTTTAGAAGAGTGGGCAAAGTGGTTATGAAATAACCACTCTGGGTGGTGGGGGAAAAGTTACTCTGAGTGATGGGAAATAAATTAATTATTGCCAAGCAGCACTGAGGACTTAGTTGAAGTTGGACCCAAAGAATACTGATCTTTACAATTGTGTGATGTTTCTCTACCAGCATTCATCATAATACCAGAAAAAAATACAATGAAAGTATAGTTACTGGGGTTTCAGCAAATGATTATAATATTCCTGGTAAGTTAGTAGTTGAAGTGATAGACAATGGAGTCCAGCCTGGCCAGGAATGGAAGAAAAAAACAGGATGAAACTGGTGAGGTGAGAAAAATGGAAGTGTCCAGGAGCTAGAGGTCTTCATGAGAGGAGAAAATAACAGGTGAAATAGAATAAATAACATTAGAACATGGAGAAAATAGGAGGCTGTTGTTAGATTTTAGACTTATGAGATGGAGCAAGTCTACATAATTAGCCCAATGTAACCATAAGAGTGGTTGATAGAGTTGGAGTATATTTGAAATTTGTTAGAGTTAAGAGGTCTAAAAACCGTGAGGCTTAAGTGTTGGATAGGTCGACACTTATGATGGGAATTGAAGACAAGAAAGACTGAGCCACGTACCAAAGACTTCCATGAATGAAAACTGCTAGGTAACAGTGACAAGAAGTGGTTGTGATTTTTTAGCCAAGTAATATAAGCCTCAAAAGAGATGAATCTTTGCAAAAAGGGAAGAATAATAAATAATCTCAAAACAGTATTGAGAAGATATAAAGGAAGTATAGTTCTCAGAAAAGAGCTCAGCCTCATTAAAGCAAGAAGAGGAAGAAGTATTCTAAAAAGGTTGAATATGTAGGGATGCAGGTTTGACAAAGAACAGGGGCTTCCTGAAGGAAGGCTGGGAAAAGGTGGCAAAAAGAGCAATAATGAGGATAAAGTGTCAATAAATATGTAAATTTTGGCAGAGGGGTGACTTACCTTTTGGACTCCTAAGACTATGCTCTTGCTTATATTTTGTGTCACTGCTCAAAATCAAATCCACATACCAATACTGACTTTGATCACAAGACAGTTAATTCCAGTCACCTCCATTTTGCTTACTATATCACAGAGAGTCCTCCAACCATTGCTAACCTCCTACAACAAGCCTGTGGATAAGTAGGAAGAATAATAGGACTAACTTCTTTTCTCTTTTTCCTCCAGAACACTTAAGCACTACCACCATCATCTCTGAAGAGACTGGAAAAGGTAGGGAGAAGGATACACAGATTGGGTAGTTATATATGTTGTGCATTTGGGGAAAAGTTCAGTGCCTCTAGAAGATGAGTTTCATATGGCTGAAATGTGGACCTCAATACTAGCAGAAAACATCCTGAGATTTATTTAAGATTTCAGAAGCCAGGAATCTAAGGTTAAGCTTCCAGTTAAGCTTCCCTCAGCAGGTTTATTCTCTCTGACCCCCATGCCCAACCTCCTGAGTTGAGGAAAATTGCCTCATCCTCAGTGAAGGCTGCTATCTTATCCTCTTACTAATGTATGAGGGGAAATAAAATTCAAGGTCTTGCTGAGTTGTGAATGAAGGTGCTATAGTACAGATATGAATTCCCCACAAGGACAGTGTGAAACTAGGACAAATGCCATTCAGTCTGCACCAGGTAATTAATCTTTCATCTATAGAATACTAAATAGTTGACACTTTAGAACCATCCATTTCTGTACTTCCAGAAAATAGAGCTTCTTGTTCTATCCAGGCTGGGTTCAAATAATGCTTTCACTCTCTACCTCATTTGTACCTGAACTGAGAAAGATTCATAAAGTTGTGAGAGGCTAGAATAGATGTTAGAGATTTTCAGTTTAGTCTGGAGGTTTTTCAGCTCTGTTTGGAAAGGTCCTAATGATCTAAGTATCTTATAAACAGTCAACCAGGGGACTAGGGTATGTCCTGGAGGATTAGGGAGAGGTAAGGTGAAGCAGAGAGAGCAGAGTGACATACATATATGTATATGTATTTGTATATATATATACATATATATATATATACACACATATATTTTTATATATACATATTTTGTGCATACATTTGTATGTGCATTTTTACATATCAGTGTGTACATACATACATACATCCTCATAAGCTCTTGTTTGTTAAAAACGTTAAACAGTGAGGAAAACCCCTCAAAACTGGTGGTCTACTAAAGCCCAATATTTTCTGAGAGATGGAAAGTGATTTTTCCAAGGTCACAAGGGAAGTAAGTGGTAGAATGTAAACTCAAAACCAGAATGTTTCCCAGCTTCCATTTGAACTCATTATATTTCATCTTCTCTCAGTTCTGTAAGAATATTGATTCATCCAGTTATACATTCATCAAACACATACTAACTGCCAGAGACACCAAAAAAGTAAGACATAGTCACTATTTTCCAAGAGATTCATGTCTAAAAGTGGAATGAGACACAGAGACAATAATTGCAGTGCTGGATACTATGTTATTTTTTTAAAGTGGGGAAACAATAATAACAACGGATCAATTATTGTGCATTTGATGTCTTCCAGGAGCTATGTTAAATATTTTATAAATATCAACTCACTCAAGCCTCACAATAAACCACTGAATTAAGTATGGTTATTATCCCCATTTTATAAAAGAGGAGACTGAAATCCAGAAGTGAGGGTGGATTAGGTCACTTAGCCCAAGGAAGTAAATTGTGGGAGTACAAACAGTACAGATACTTTGGGCACACAAAAGAAAGACCATTGTTAGTTATACAGCTGAATTGAAGAAAGCTTTGCTGAGACATATAATGTTTAAGCTAGGGATAGAATGGTGAGGAAGAAGAAAGGGTGTTCAGGCAATGGGAGCAGCATGAGAAAGTCTTGGAAGCCTGAAGAGGCTCACCCATTCTGTAGAACAAAGAATGAGTTGCTATCCCTGAAGATAGTAAATAAGAGTAGGCTAAGTTAGAACCTGATCGTGAGAGTTGCAATGTCTGACTTGAGTCTGAGCTTTATTCCATAGGCTGATTGGAGATCATCAAAAGTTTGTATGCCAGGAACTAAGAAAATTAGATATTTCACCTAGAAAGATCAATGTGACATCAGTGTTATAATGACGCAAAGATGTGAGAGACCAGACAGCACAGAGACAGGCTCTTGTCATGGTCCAATGGTCAAAGTGAGTATTGATAAGCTAGATAATTGAGTCAAACTGCTTCTCAGGAGTTTCTACTTACTGCTCCCAGTTCTACCCTCTGGAACCACGCAAACCAAATTCAATTCTTTTTTTTTTTTTCTACATCACAGGTTTTTATATATTTAAAGAAATATGTCAAGGCCCTTCTCACTCTGAGTGTTAGCTCTTTCCATGGGGGGACTGGTGCTTCAATGCTTCCTAATAATTTTCTCAGCTATGACATTTTGTTACGCTAGTTCTCTGTAACCTCCGTATCTGTCATCATTGGCTGATCTTTTGAGGGCTAAGGATAGTTCCTGTGTCCTATTTGGATGACCTTATTTCTCCTCTCCCAGAGTTGACTATAAAATAAGACATTTTAGAATATTCTCCATCGCAGGGTTCCCACTTGCCTCTTGTTCCATTTCAGTAGCAATTCCCAGAGACATTGGAGAAAGCAATGTGAGGATGCTGGGCATGCAGATCCCTGTAAAGGATATCGAGATACTGACTTCTGTCTTGATTGCTATGGGTGTCACTCTCCTGCTCATTGCTCTGGCTCTTGGTGGTGTGGTGTGGTACCAGCATCGGCAGAGAAAGCTACGGCGCAACAGGAGGTCCATCCTGGATGACAGCTTCAAGCTTCTGTCTCTCAAGCAATAACAGCTGGATCCTGGAACTGCACATCTGGGACACACTCCCAGCAGGTCATGGACTAGCAGCTGACCTCATTGTCATTGTCAAAGGGGAATGGGTTTTAGAGAGGCAGAGGAGGGAATCAAACTCAAAAGAGTATTTCTTCACTAATTTATTTACATGGAAATGATATGCTTTCTTTTTCTTTAGTTTCTTTACTCCACTTGGGCACCTGGGGCTGAGTCCCCTAGTATCTAATATCACAAATTTCAACAGCTATATTATATCACCCACTGACACTTGGAAGGTCTGGAAATTTCTAAAAACTGACTCCTCTCACAAAGTAGATACCAAGAGTAAGGTTCACTGATTAGGTTTCTACTGCTTTCCAGGACTTAGGCAAGTTCAGTTTGAACTGAGGCTAAGTGAGCTGTGATGATAATCCAAATCTAAACTAGGACTAAGAACATAGTCTTGATGGGGAATGGGTGGGGTGGGATTTTAAGATCCAACTTGTATTTTGATTCTTCTTGGCAGTGGACTGTTTTGGTTAAGTGGGTAGATGGAATATTGTTGTCATGAGCAACTACAACCTTTGGAGGCAAAAGCTCCTCAGGAAGGCAGTACTCCAAGTTCTTGGTGCATTTGCACTGAAGGGAATGTTGAGTGTCCTCTCCATGTTTTAGTCAGAAAATCCTACACATTAAAGTGCTTGTTAGAACACCATAAGAGTGAACTTGGTGAATTTGATTGTCTCTGTGGCCTCTGGGAAGTTGTGACTGTTATTGAAAAAGAGAGCACTCAGCGAGACTGGTGGGGGTGACTAGTGTTGGTCATAGAATGGGTCTGCCTATCCTTTGTGGACCCTGCAGGTTTGTGTTTTGGAAGTGAAGAAGCTGCCCAAGAGGAAGCCTCAGAATCAGAGTGGTAGGTACCATCTTTTGACCCATAAGTGCCAAAAGTTTTCTGAATGCAAAGAAAAGTTGCCAGAGGGAAATAAAGGGCTGAAACTAAGCTCAAACCTTTACACTGGGCAAGGAGAGGTGGGCACAGATCTAATGGGCTCTTTTGGTAGTTGGGGGTATGAGAGGTCTACTTGCAATTTTGGGGGCCTCTTTATAGGGTAGAGTCCTTCCTCTGGTAATTTAAAGCAATATTCCTTTGTCACTTACAAGTTCAAGCCTCTCTAAAACCTTGGTCAGAGAGCACAGACAAGACACAGATTAGGGATGGGATAAGATGGCCCATTCTTACTATAGTATCCATAATACCATTTTACATGGCAAGTGGAAAATGGAAGAGGCATCAGGGACAGTTAAAATAATAACTGAAATGCATAGTGCTTTACACTTTACAAAGCATCTAATACCTGATTGCATTTTACTTCCCTTAGTTCTATCAGGGTGATACTTTGTTTTACCTTTTAGTAAACAAATTATTATAGAGAGTAAGTGATTTTACCCCAGGTCATTCAGCTAAAAATTGAGTAGGGATTCAAGCTTTCATCTATTCGACTCCAAATACCTGCTTCATCCTTCTATATCATGGAAACTCCACTAATCTCCATCATTTGTTACCCATATTGAATCCAACTTTCCTTTTCCTGTCTTTCCAGCAAAACTGTCTGCCTAGTTAGCAACACTTTGCAGATTAACTGTAGAAACCCACAAAGCTGGTGTTCAGGTGCTAAATAATGTTGAAAGTTGGAGGGTAAAACACAGGCCAGAGCCCATCATTCATCTTGGTTTACTGTGGTCAATGGCTCTGTGGAGAGCTTTACTGGAAGTCTCAGAAACATAACAGGGTGTGGAGTAGGGAGAAGATTTGGATTTTTAGTGATAAAATCAAATAAGAGTATTTAAACCATTGCATAATCAATGCACTTAACAGCAGAACTCTGTTGGTGTATTGTTAACGTGAAGGTTATTGAAAACTCAGTGCACTCTGGGGACTCTACTCAATTATTGTAATCTGTATGCAAATGGAAGGTGGTCTCAGTCACGAATCTGAGACAAGGAGAAGTAGGTGGGATGGGGATACGTTTTTTCTGAATGTGTAACTCTGCTCCTGATTGGGGAATGTAAGCTCAAGCCCATGTATTACAGAAAAGTATGCATTTTTGTAGTGGGTGTTCTCCCTGTGGGGATGTAGGAGATGTTTTTGACAATTAAGTGGCACTTCCATCCATTCAATTGCTCAAGTCAGAAATCGCAAAGTAAGCCTTGTTTGCTTTTCCTCCAAAATATCTTTAATTTATTCATCTGTTTCTATCTTCATTGCTACCACCCCAGACTAAAGCACAACCATCTGTTACCAGGATTTGTGTGGTAGCCTCCTGCTTATAACCTTACATTCACTCCAGCCTCCTACAATTGATTCTCCATGCAGAAGAGTGATGTTTGAAAAACATAAATTGGACTTCCAGTTTAGATGAGATGCCATAGGTTCACCTCTCTCTGGAGATAAATAAACCTTGGAAATAATAAAAAAAAGACAACAATAGAAGGGCTCAAAAAGATAGAGAAGAGGAAGGCAGCCTGAAGAAGAATAGAGAAACATAGCAACAAATCATCTTCCTAACACCTAACCTAGAAGAATGCAGCCCAAAGTCAAAAAGGAGTCCTAGGGACAGCCCAGGTGGGCCTGGGACTCTGGAACGAGGGACTGGGGAGGAGCCTTGCTTACATCAAGTAACCATGGAAGCTGCTCTTCATCTCTGTTGACCAGAGACTCTCCTCCCCCAGTTAGACATTAGGAAGCAACTGCAAGGAGAATCCCAACATAGTAAGCTGCAGCCCAAGAAGCACTCTTTGTGCCTGTAAGCTGGAGAATCCCTTTTCCTACCCAGAGACAATAATGGTTCTGGCAGAGGTCAACAGGAACCTCAGTGACACCAGAGAGACCAAGCAAAACTGAAGAGCACAGCAAAGTCTCTGAAAGTTACATTGCCATTGGAACACAAAGTTATGCCAGGACTTATGCTAAACATAAACAGGGTTACTGCCTCCTAAAATAGATTGTTTTAATATGATTCAGAGTTCCATCATACCAAGAATCAGTAAAATCACAACTTGAATGAGAAAAGACAGTATACTTTCTGGGTTCCCTCTATGTGGGCTGTGTGGGTCCTTCTGTTGTGGTGGGCTGATTACTGTGAGGACACTGGTAGGTGGGACTGTACCCCTGTCCAGTTGGTTGCCAGACACTGCCTTGTGCAGAGACTGTGAGCCACAGGTGATCAAGACCATGTCCTGGTATGGCTGCTTTCACAGTCAGGGGATTCCAGGTCCTGGTGCCAAGCCACAGATGGTTGTGGCCATGTCATAGGTTGACTGGCTACTGAGCCCAGAGGGATCTCAGGGCTAGTGCTGGTCCACCAGTGCATATAGCCAGGTCCCATGGTGGCTGGCTCTGGTGCCAGGGATCTCAGAGCAAGTGTCGACCTGCTGTTGGGTGGGGCCCCAGGACATCCTGGGGTGGTGTTGGCCTGCTAGAGGACAGGCTGGTTCTTGCCACAGCTGGATGCAAGGCTGCCGTGGTCCCAGGGCTGGTGCTCACACAGAAGCAGCTGAAGCTCGGTCCTGGGTGTCAACTGACTTGAAGAGTTAGGTCCTGGGGTACCTGGCTGTGGGGCACGGGTTCCCAGAGCTGGTGTTGGCCCACTGGTGTCCAGCTCCAGGGCCAAGGATGACCCAGGGCTAATGCCAACACACTGGTGGGTCTCTGCAGGACCCTGGGTACCCTAGAGTTGGTATAGGTAGGTGGATAGGGCAAGGGACAAGGGAATCCTGGGGCTGGTGCCAGGCTGCTGGTGTTTACATTGTGTGTTGACACAGATGCCTACAGGGCCTTGATGATCCTGGGGCTGGAGTCTGCCTGCTGGTGGGTGAGGCCTGGTGCCAGAGCTAGTGCCAGCCAACAGGATGGCAAAGCCAGGTCTTAGGGTCTCTGGCTATGGGACCCAGAGTTTCTGGATCTGAAGTTGTCCTACTGGTGGGTGGTGCCAGGGCCCAGGAAGTCCTGGGGCTAATGAGAGCCCACTGGTGGGTGGAGCTGGGTCCCAGCATCTTTGGCTGCATGACCTTGGTGGTCCCAGAGATGTTGTCAGTACAAGGATGGGTAGGAACTAGGCTCAGGGGATCCTGGGGCTCTTGCCCATGCCCTGGTGGGCGATGCTGGGTTCCAGGGTTAGTAACGATCCACTAGTGGGTGGGGTTGGTTCCTGGGTCCTCTGGTGGGCGGGTCCAATCCCGGGAGGGCTTGGGTCTCGGGATGGGGGGTCCTACAGAAGCTGGCCTGCTGGTGAGTAGGGCTGTGTCCCTGCTCTGCTAGCTGACTGACATGGAGCATCCCAGAACTGGTGCCAAATGGCTGATGGGTGGGGCCAGGTTCCAGCACTAATAAGCAACAATGGTGCTTACCAGCACCAGTGTACTCTTGGTGGGATGAGCTCCCACAAATGGCTACTGCCAGTGTCTGTGTACCCAGGGTGAGTTTCAATTGCCTCCTGCCTCTCCAGGAGGTTCTCCAAAATCAGTAAGCAGGTCTGACCCAGGTTTCTTTTAAATTACTGATTCTGCTCTGAGTCTCAGAGCATGTTAAATTTTGTGTGTGCCTTTTAAGGGTGGAGTCTCTGTTTCCCACAGTCTTCTGTCTCTCCAAAAAGCCCCATTGGCCTTCAATGTCAAATGTTCTGGAGGCTCATCTTACTGGTGCAGGACCACATGGCTGGAGAGCCCAATGTGGGAAGAACCAGTGCAATTGGGATTATTCTCCCTTTGTGGTCATATACCAGGGAATATGGGTCTCAACTATATGGAAGCTCTGTCTCTCCTACTCATCTTGTGATTCCTTATTTATATCTTTAGCTGTAGCATGTCATTTCTGCTAGTCTTCAGGTTGCTGTCATGGATAGTTGCTCTTTGAATAGTTGCAGTTTCATTGTGCCCATGGGAGGAGGTGAGTTCAGGGTCTACCTAGTCAGCCGTCTTGTCCATACCTACATCCAGTCTCATGTTACAATTAAAAAATAAAATTCAGACATTATGTTAGACACTAAGGATACAGGGATAAACTGTTCAAGCTCATTTTCCAGTACAGAAGACAGTTATAAGTAAAGTGCTCTGAAAGCAGATGGAAGAACCAGATAACTGGGAGGGATCAGGAGGAATAACAAAGAGAGTATACTTCAGCTGAACCTTGAAGGATGAGGAGAAACTTGGTAGATAGGTGAAAAAACATTCTATGCCAGACTAACAGCATATATGACAGCAGGGAGCTTGAGAATGTATTGTGTCTTTAGGATGTAGAAAAGGAAATTCATATTTTAATATGTCTAATGGAGAAATATTGCTTTTTCCCACTAAATGTGCTGCTCCTCCATTCTAGCCCATTTCAGCAAATGGTATCACCATCTGTTAAGCTATTCAAGATGGAAACGTAAGAGTCATCCTTCAGCCCTCCCTTTCCCTCACCCCTAACTTCCAATACAACCATAATTTCTACCAGTAGTATATTCAAAATGTATCCAAAATCAATCTATTTTTAACATTTGTACACCCCCAGCCAAGTACAGGCCACTATCAACTTTCAACTCAACAAAAGCAATAACCTCCTCCCTGTTCATACTTTTACCCTTGCCTTCCCACTACACATCCTTTCCACTGCAAATTGTGAGAACTTTTAAAAACATAGATTGGGAGAGGAGCTTCAAGATGGCAGAAT